GAAAATTATATTATTAAACCAAATATAAATTACTTCGTTATTGTACCTAAATTAAATTATAATAAAAAATTGACTTAAAAAATTACACAAAAAATGAAGAATTTTAAATACTTAATTTGATACGAATATCGATATATTTTTGTTATGCATAAAGTACTGTATATTGATGCATATTTCTTAAAATTCAAGATTACAAGTAATTATGAATAAGTACAACTTATTAAAGCTCSATGTTTGAATTCGTATAAATAACTACGGATAAACATAATCAAATAGAGGATGAACATCTCATTTTAAAATATAAAAAATCTAAAATATATTAAGTTCCAACAAAATAAATAATTATTATATTTATAAAAAATTATATATTAAACCAAATATAAATTACTTCGTTATTGTACATAAATTAAATTATAAAAAAATTGAATTAAAAAATTACACAAAAAATAAGGAATTTCAAATAGTTAATTTGATATTAATATCGATATATTTTTGTCAAAGTTTTATGATATCTTCAAACATATATATTATTCAAAAATAAAAACATCATCGTTTTTTTTAAATCACATAAAGCCATATTATAACATCGACTGAGATAAAGAATAAAATGAAATATTAAAATCACGATGTATCTCGCTGCATTGCGCGAGTACGCTTCTAGTCCTTTTTAAATACAATTACTTTTTTGTAAATGTAAGTACTTTTAGATATATTTGTTTCATTTTATAGATGTAAGTACTTTTTTTGTTTAAAAAATGTCTAGAGACTTAATCGTTTAAAATATGAAAGTTCATTGAATTTTTTCAGACATTTTTTCATTATTTTACAACATTAACCAATTTTATACGTCATAAGAATATCTAATAGGTTTTAGAAAGTACAATGAGTTATTTAACATGTTTTGAAATGTCCAAGAACTTATTTGTTTCAAAAACTTAATCAATCCAAACACTAAAATCCATTAGGTTTTTTTAGACTTTTATTTATAAAAAGATAAAAACACGTCTTCAATCCATATTAAAAACCTTAAAAATCAATTGCTTATAGAAAGGTAAGAGACAGTAGGTGTGGAAGTTAACTGAATATTATATCAAGGTGTTGTTTGGTTCATATAATAAAATCTATTAAGATTATAATTTGTCAACTGAATTGGAATTAAATTTAATTAGGTTTGATCAAATGTTTGGTCGATAAAAATTGAAATAGAATCTGACAAAAGAGATTGAAATCTATCTATTTGGTTGGCTGAATATAACTTTAGAATTATAATAAAATAATAATAAATGACCAAAATACATTTTTTATAACATTTATATATATTCTATTGTTTAAATTATAAAAACTATATATTAATAAAATTATAATAATATTAATTGGTAGTGATGGTGACGGTAATGACAACGACGATGGAGGTGGTGGTGGCAAAAACAACAACAATATAGTGGTGATGATGACTTTCGTCATGAGATATATTGGATTAAAGTAAATGTAATGAAAAAATAGTCATTTTCAAAAGATGAGACAAGAAAGAAAGATGGTGATAAAACGCTAATTCCAAAAATCACTTTTATTTTATGTGATTGATGGTCTTTTTCTTAGTTTTTATTTTATAATTTTAAGGAAATTTTTTATGAAAATTTAGGGGCTCTTTATTAATTTTTTCGGGCAAATGCTGATTAGGATAAGAAGTTTGATTGGAATAAGAGATATGACCATGGTAAGTATCGACTTAAAAATGTTGCTTATCAATTTTTTATATTAAATGCTGATTGGATAAGATGACGATAATAACCTTGTCTCTAAGCAATATTTTCAAATGTTTTAGAAGCTGTTTGACAGTTATTAAATGGTTTGGTGCATAACGATTAAGTGGTGAGAATGATTAAGAGAGACTTTCATGATATAGTGCAAAATGAAATATAATTATTTGGTAATTGTTTACAATGAAATTAATGCGCTTAATGGTTAAGGAAGACATAGGATACAAAATCATTCAGATGGTTTTAGAACCATTAAGAAATAGACTTTCTTTTTACCAAACAAAATTCACTTATTAACAATATATATGTTGTCTTTTAATAAAACTATTAAAAGGTAGACAAACAATCCTTTGATTTCTTAATTGTAAAGTTGATAACATGCCAACGCATACATGAAAACCAATCATAACTCAACAATACATCACTTGAACCCATTCAAAAATATACACCACATCACCACTCTCGTTTTTTTCAAGCTTTTTTTTTTTCTATTCAAGGCGTTATTTCAACTTCATACATAAAATATAGGTGTATTCTTCCTCTCTAGAATACCATTCTTTTTAAGCACAAAGTCGATTACCGTTGTTTAGAGTCGACTGCTCGTTTGAAGCGTGCGTCGCAAAGACCCCCTTTCCATTTCTTTAGAGATTTATGAAATCAATTATCAAATTTGGGATATTAGAAATCAAGAAAAAGAAGAAGAAATTGAAAAGAAAGAGACGAGACGAGAAATTGAAGCAAGCAGAGAAAATGGGCAATTGTTTGAAGGAGAAATCGGCAATTAGGTTTTTAGATGGAGAGGGTAAATATGGAAACCATGCCTTTTATCACGGTGAGATTCATTTTGTTATCTGACTTCAGTAAGAGGACGGTAGAGGTCAGTCAACATGATTGTTGGTTTTCTTTTTAGTATACACTTCTTTTATACTCGAGTAAGAGTCTTTTAATGGGTAAGAAGTGGTGAGAGATTAGTAAACGGGATCTAAGAAGAAAAGAAGACGGAGATGAATAGAAAAGACAAAATTATTCTTGATTAATTTTTGGTAGTTTATGTTTTTCTATACATAAAGTAAGAAAAAAATAACGGGGTGAACTATGGGGTAAATGATTTGAATTTTGAAAGAGTTATTCAAACTCAAGTTTAATAATTCTCGAGCTTGAGTCGATCTTAAGCACAAAATAAACTCTTTTTGCTTAACGAGTCGAGTTTCATAACACCTATATTCGACTTGGCTTGCTCGAGAGCTCGATTAATGTTTTCGAGTTGAACCTAGCCGAGCCTTACTTTATTCGGGCCAAAATTCGAATAACCTAATAGTCGAACTCGAAGCCTACTTTAAAAATATTCGAGCATCAAGCTCGATAATCCAAAAAAGTTATTCGAGCTCACACTTTGGTATTGTTTTTTCAAGCCAAAATTTGAATAACCTAATAGTAGACTCTACAGTCGACTCGACTAGTTTACACCCCTAGGATGAACTATATAAGATATAATGAAGGTGACAAGAGGATCCATAGTACCTGCAACTTCCCGTGTGGCGATCACTAGCAAAATTCACTTCAGTTTCATTGTTTATGTCAATAATGATAGTGATAGAGTTGGACATGTTGAATTTTGTGAATGCTTTAATAGTCAATGCCCATAACCCTACAAACATCTAGCTTTTTCTAGTTTCAAAAGTTCTGATTTAACTCGAGAAGAGTTCAAATAGCAACACCCTTCTAACTCACTCTTCTAAAGGCTTAGTCTACACCTTTTTTTTATATATATTAAGTTTCGTGTCTATTTAGCCTATTTGAGAAACAGTGTTACATTTCACTTGGCTATTGATGGTTTTTTGTCCTGAATTAGGCATGATGCTGATATCTAGCAGTCAAGTTGGACTGGTATCTATCTCTCCAGCAGTCGAGTTAGACTAGTAACAACCACCTATTCACTACTTCAATGTATTTTATATACTACACACATATATGTATACATACATAAAACATACCCAAATCAGCTGGAAGACTATGGCTATTGGGTCAGTAGTTAGCACCGAAGAAGACGGCAAGTACAATGGTCAGATAACATCATTCGTTGTGTTGTCTTGCATGGTTGCTGCAACCGGAGGAATCATTTTCGGATATGATATTGGAATCTCAGGTCTAATTTCCGACTTAAACTACCATTATATATACTGCTCTATGAAGAATGAAGTCATAGATGGTATATGAATATATAGGAATTGAATTGTTAAAACATAAAAGTAACATGTTGTAGCAACTGACCTGTGGAAAGTTATCAATTTGAAGGTGGGGTGACCTCTATGAAGCCATTTTTAGTGAAATTCTTCCCAGATGTTTACACCAAGATGATACAAGATACCACGATAAGCAACTACTGCAAATTTGACAGCCAACTCCTCACTTCCTTCACATCTTCGCTATATGTAGCCGGTCTCATTGCTACCTTTTTTGCTTCACCCGTCACTAGAACCTTTGGGCGTAAACCATCAATTCTTATTGGTGGGGTTGCTTTTCTTGCTGGTGCTGCCCTTGGAGGCGCAGCTTACAATATATACATGCTTATAATCGGTCGTGTCTTTCTTGGTGTAGGAGTTGGGTTCGCAAACCAGGTGAGCTACTCTTCCTTTTCTTTATCCAATTTCACCTATCTGCTTGCTTTAAACGGCCATGTCTTTCCTATGATCATCAGTCGGTTCCATTATATCTATCAGAAATGGCACCATCAAGATATAGAGGAGCATTCAACATGGGTTTCCAATTTTGTGTCGGAATTGGCGTTTTAGCTGCAAATCTTCTAAACTATGGCACCCAAAAGATAAAAGGTGGATGGGGATGGCGAATCTCCTTAGCCATGGCTGCTTTTCCTGCTTCAATTCTAACAATTGGAGCTCTTTTCCTCCCAGAAACACCCAACAGCTTGATACAGCACAACGAGGATCCAGATAAGGCTAAGAAAATGCTACAGAAAGTCCGAGGCACCGATGATGTTGAGGCCGAATTTGATGATCTTGTGACAGCAAATGAAATTTCAAAAAACATTAAACACCCTTTCAGAAAGATCATGAGGCCAAAATATAGACCTCAGCTTGTGATGTCGATCCTTATCCCATTCTTCCAACAGGTTACAGGAATCAATGTCATCTCCTTCTATGCTCCAATCCTCTTCAGAACCATAGGATTTGGGGAAAGTGCTTCACTTATGTCAGCGGTGGTAACCGGGCTAGTGGGTCTTATCATGACCTTTATATCATTACTAATAGTCGATAAACTTGGTAGACGAACTATATTCACCATAGGAGGCTTGCAGATGTTCATCTCACAAATGCTAATTGGTTCAATAATGGCAGCAAAACTAGGGGATCATGGTGTATTAAGCAAGGGATATGGGTTTTTGGTGTTAATCTTGATTGCGGCTTATGTGGCTGGCTTTGCGTTATCATGGGGTCCATTGGGATGGCTAATTCCTAGTGAAATCTTCCCATTGGAGATACGATCTGCAGGACAAAGCATCAATGTGGCAGTGGGATTCCTCTTCACTTTCATAGTTGCTCAAACATTTCTATCCATGCTTTGCCATTTGAAATCAGGAACCTTCTTCTTTTTCGGTGGATGGGTAGCTGTGATGACTGTATTCGTGTATTTCTTTCTCCCTGAGACTAAAAACGTGCCGATCGAGAAGATGGATCGGATATGGAAGCAGCATTGGTTTTGGAAGAGATACGTGTGCGAAGAAGATGATACTGAATTCATGTAGATATAGGCAATAGAACACAAGCTAAATATTTCGATTGTAATTTTGTTATATCTTGTAATCATAAAACTGAAAATCCAGTTCGTATGAATGTTGCTACTATGAATCTACGATCATGATTTCATTATGCTAATTAGGGCTCATCAATTTACTTGCTAGATCTACAACAGAGATATTTACCTGCAAAAATCTCATGAATTCGGGATTAATTTCAAATCGGAGAAGAAGATCATTGGGATCGCCTTCGCCAATCTACCAGATTTTTATATTGTTGTTTTTAAGTTAGAATTTGAAAAATCTACCACGCATGTGCATATGTAATACTAAAAGGGTATCTGAGTAATGCTGATTTTAATGTTTTTTTTTTTAATCCATTATTATAGTACGGTTTTGATCAAATAATAATGTTTTTATTTTTAAATAAAATATAAATTTTAAAATATTATAAAAATATATATATTTATATTAGTATCAAATTAATTATTTAAAAGTTTTTGTTTTTTTTAATTTTTTTTTTTTTTTTTTTTTTTGAAACTATAAACATATATACAAACAAATAACGAATCAGAGATAAACAAATAAAGAAT